GCTTCCGCAGATTAGCGGGGATGCGAACTTTATCGAGGAGCGGGGTCTCGACGGCCACGTGACTACCTTCAGCGTTGGCGTCGGCCGCGCTTGGGGCGCTGGCGGCGGACGCTTGTCCGGCGACATTCAGGAACCGTAGCCGGAGAACCGCACATAAGCCTTCGCGCGCCCCAGGTCAAAGGCTCAAGGTCAAAGGCTCAAGGTCAATGGCTCAAGGTCAAAGCGAGATGTCGAAGCCCGGGGGAGGCCAGCCAGTGCGCCAGCGCCTCATGCGGGCGGCGCGCTGGGCCAGCTTCGCCCGTCGCAACAGCGTCAGGGGCCCCATGGCCCACGTCATCCGCGGCGGCGTGGCGCGGAGAAACGGATAGGTGTGGTTCCAGTCTGCGCATCGCACCGGTAACGCGCGACGCAGAGGAATGGTTGCGTTGCAGGATGTGGGCGACTGCACGGCGACAGCCTCGTCGCACATCCGGCCGCAAGGTCCGCGGCGCCCGCCATGCGGCGAAGGCGCGGCGCGGGCTCAGGCCAGCGGCCATGGGCGCGCGCCGCTCAACTCTGCGCGCCGCTCAAATTTGCAGCTGGGATCGGCGCCGCACGGCGCCTGGCGATTACTCAGGATCCAGCGGCATAACGCCGGTCGGCCGGGCGTCCGGGCCGAGAGCGATCTTCTCAATGCGCGCCTCAGCCGCCCGCAACAGTCCCTCACAATGGCGTTTCAGCGCCTCGCCGCGCTCGAAGATCACAATCGATTCCTCAAGGTCGACACGGCCTTCCTCAAGGCGACGCACGATCGCCTCAAGTTCCGACATGGCGGCCTCGAAGGGCAGCGAGGCGATGTCAGCGGGGGCGTCGGGTGCAGCGGCTGTCATGAGCGAATGTCCTGTGGGTGGCTGCGCGCGCAGCGCCGCCCGGTCACGGGCGACGCGCCGGCGTCTGGAGAATCGGCCAGCGAATGGGCCGCGGATCGTTCCGCCGTTATCGCTCCGCCGCCGCGCCGCCTCAAGCGCTGTTGTCCGGCGGGCGCTCGGCGGGGGCCAGCAGCCGCTGGTAGGCGCGGGCGACGCCGATCAGCGCAAGGCCAAGGCCGATAAAGGAGAGGGCCCTCCACACGCCGTCGAGACTGGCCATGTCGGACAGGAAGGCCTTGAGCACCGCCGCGATGATGAAGATGGCGGAAACCTGGCGCAGCAGCCGCCGTTTGCGCGCCAGGCCCCAAGCCAGCAAAACGCCCCCCAGCACCAGCAGCGCCGCCGTATAGGTGAGCCATTCGGCGTTGCCCGCCCCCCGGTCGATGGCGACGTCCGGCCCCTGGAAGAGCCGCCGGATTTCCAGCAAGAGATATGTCGCCAGCAGCGTCAGTGAGAGGCCCGCCGCCAGCAACGTGCGCCAGCGCGGCCATTGCGCGCGGGTGCTGAAGCCCAGTAGCCCTGCCAGCAGGCCCGGCAGCAGATAGGCGGGGATCAGCGAGTTGAACAGCGGCCCGCCGACAATCTGTTCATGGCCATTGAGCGGGTTATGAATGACCAGCAGACCCGCTGCGATCACCACAAAAGACGCCAGCGACAGTGCGCTGGCGGCGATCCAGTAGACAGGATCAGCCCGACCCCGGTGGAGCCGCGACAGGCCCAGCGCCAGCAACAGGCCGCAGACTGCGAGCAGGCCGGCCTCCATATGAGAGGAACCCGCGGCGAAGGCATCGCCGTCGTGCAGCGCGTGCCGAATCTCGAACACCGCCAGCAGGGTGGTGAAGGCGATGGCGAGGCTCTCGCACAGGGCGGTGATGCGGTCGCGCCCCTGGCGCGCCAGCACGCGTGCGGCGATGGCGAATGACAGGGCTGGCGCGCCATAACCCCACAGCAGCCAGTTGAACACCGGAACAGCGCCGACGCCGCCTTCCGCCGCGATCGCCGGATTGGCGATGAGACGCGCCGCCACCACGACGCCGACGCCGGCCACGGCATAGCGTAGCGCCGGCAACGGCAGATGCACCGCCACCCAGGCGATGGCGGGGGCCATCAGCGCCAGGGCCACCGTCAGCATGCCCTTGTCAAGTGCAAAGATAAGCCCGAGCGCGAGCGTCGCCACAGTGGCGCAGGCGAGGGCGCCGGTCGCCAGCTCGACATGCGGCCCATGCACATGGCGCGCGCCGCCATGGCCGGCGGTCCCTTTCGCCGCATCAGGTTCGACAGCGCCGCGCAGGCGGGCGACCAGCAGCACCCCGCCCGCCGCCATGATGCTGGCGATGAGCGCAAAGGGGAGGCTGGTGGCGAAAGCAGCGGTCTTCATCCAGACCACGGTGAGCACGGCGGGCGGCGTCGCGGCGGCGGCGATGGCGAGGCTGGCGGCCGCCGCCCGTGTCAGGGCTGCGCACCGCAGCAGCCGCCGCAGGGACAGGCCAGAGACGGCGAGCGCCGCGATGACGGCGAAGAGGAGATAAATCGCCAGATTGTCCGGCATGGGCGCTGCGCCCACGCCGCCTGGAGCAAGCGCTGTGCTCTCGGCGCCGGCCAGGCGCCTGACGGGCCAGTTCCATAGCGCCCCGAGGAGGGTGGCGCCTGACAGCACGCAGGCGCCAGCCACTGGCGCTGCAAACAGCCCGACGCCGAGCAGCAGGGCGATGAGCACGTTGCCGGCGATGACGCGGGCGGTCACAGCCAGGCTCAGTTCAAGGCCCGCCACGCCCAGCGCAGCAAAGGCCGCAAGCGCCAGCACGGCCAGCCAGTCAGCCCGGGCCGCGCGATTTTTCGGATCAAGATAAGGCTGGATGGCCAGCGCCGCCGCGGCGAGGGCCAGTTGCAGCAGCACAAAGCTGAGCGCGGCCATCGGTTCGCGCCAGCCGGCCAATGTCAGTGCGAGGCCCCATAGCCAGGCGCCGGCGGCAGCGGCGATGGCCAGCCAGCGCCAGCGGCGCAGGCGTGCAACCGCATAGGCCGCGCCAACCACCGCCGTCGCGTAGGGGACCAGCGGCCACAGGCTGGGCTGCTTGCT